TTCCTGGAGGGAGAGCTCATTCATGACCTTCTTAACATCTTTGTGTCAGAGAAACTGTCCAGTTATCAAGCTTTTTACAAAAATCACAAAGAATTTGTACATTCCCAAGGTATAAAACATCTATAAATTATTTTATGATATTTAGTACTAGGGCATTTATGAATCTTATCTTGTCAACTCTTACATTTTAGGACTGAACCATGAACAAAACATTAAGAAGATGAGGATATTGTCATTCATGCAGATGGCAGAATCAAACCCTGAAATCACATTTGATGAAATCATCTCTGAGCTTCAAATTGAAGAGAAGGATGTTGAAGCATTCATCATTGAAGGTAAAAATATTTTGTTTTGATTGTTTAAAGATGTTAAAACTAGCTACTAATTTAGCCAACTGGTGAGTGCTGAAGGGGTAGGAGGCATATCAGGTTAGCGTCACTGTCGAGTAAGGCTTGTCACTCGCCAGTGCAAACAATGTAGTAAGCGCAAATACCGTAGTCCTCATTAGACTCATGATAAGAATAGATAACTGTACCTCTAGCACGAAAAACTCGTCTTCAAATCTTTGCGTATTCGTTACGCGACGATCTCGATTGTCAAAATTAGTTTTGTGCTATCATTTAAACTAAGTTCACTTTACGTCATTTTCACAGGTGCACTATTTTAGTTTTCTGAAGTTTTTGTAAAATCTTTCGATGGCGGGCGATTAGAATACGCAAATGATTCGAAGTCAAAAGTTTTTCGTGCTAGAGGTATTGATGCGAAAGTGTGAATTTCCGTGAACAGTTTTCGTGCTTCCAACCGAAGCCGAGGACAAGATGCGCCATGTCGATCTCGGCTTTGATTGATAATAATGGGTCTTATAAGTCTTGTGGCTTGTGACCATACTTTTTTCGTAAAAAGCTCTCATCTCAAATAGGTTTTTAAAAAGCACTTTTACACTTCCCAGTATTAACCCTACCACAGCTTCGGGACAATAATCTCAATCGAAACAGTAGTAATGGTACAAACTTGTAAGGATAATAATAAAATGTCAATGTTGTGTTGCAGTGCTGAAGACGAAGCTGGTGCGCGCGCGCATGGACCAGGCGGCGCGCGCCGTGCGCGTGTCCAGCACCATGCACCGCACCTTCGGCCGCGCGCAGTGGCAGCAGCTGCGCGCCGTGCTGCAGGTAATAATAATAATAATGCCACCGTCCCGGAGAGTCACTCAGGCATATAATTTCTGGTTGTTCGCATCTTGCTAACGGTGAGTATTTGCACAGGCATAACCTAGTAGCCAGAATCATCCATCAGCAACTTGCTCTTTAGTACGGCCTTCTTGAATCTGAGTCGCCATATTACCAGTACCAGCCGGTGCCAGTTCTTGAAAATGGTCATGCATTGCTCTATTGGGATCGGTCTATCATCACAGACAGGACTATTGTCTGTAATAAACCTGATATTGTGGTGGTTGATCGATCCCAACGTCGGGCAGTGCTCGTTGACATCACCATCCCGCATGACGAAAACCTCGTGAAGGCCGAGAAGGAAAAACAAAGCAAATACCTTGACTTGGCCCACGAGGTGACCGCCATGTGGGATGTTGACTCGACGATCATTGTCCCGATAGTTGTCTCGGCGAACGGGCTAATAGCGAAGAGCTTCGACCAACATCTAAAGAAGCTCTCGCTAGATGGTTGGCTCAAGGGTCAGATTCAAAAGAATAACATACCCTATCGATAGGTATTTTTTTTTAACAGACATTGTGAAAAAAAATCGCTGATTTAATTCCTTTTAAGTTTATTAAAATGTGTTTTTAGCAGCAATTTAAGGTTAATTTACATTATTAACGTATATAATCTTTATATTTTTGTTAAATCTTTAAAGATATTCCAAAAAAAAAGTCACTTTTACTTACTTTTTTTTAATTTTTCAGAACCTCATAACTTGTGAACGGGCAACTTTGGGTACGCCCTGATAGCGTAGGATTACAGTCAATAAGCCATAGAACAAGGCTCAAGTAGTTTCAAAGCAAGATCTGTCAAGGCTTAGTCGAAATCGACCACTTTATGTTTCATTCCATACAACGAAAATGGAAAATATTTTTTTCCAGTCAAACTATTGGTTTTAGAGAAAAACTTGTGCAGCATTTATTCATCAGAATAACGTAACCTATCGATGGGTATTTTTTTCAAATAGAAATTGTGAAAAAAATCGCTATGTCCATAAATCGCAATTTCGCTCCATAGTGCAGCGGTGCGATATCTTTAAGGGTTTTGTATATGTAACAAAACTGCATTTATATGCCCAAGTAAATACTAATAGTTTGTTCCATTGTTATAACCTTATGAAGTAGAGCTGTACAACCCCATCGAGCTAACTGCGCACTTCGCTGGTATGCGACTCTTCTTCCCACTTACATGCACATCTCCCCACGTTCGCCCCATCTGTACCAGAGCGTCGATATGACGTCACGACCACCAGGTGCGCAGTTAACCGGGTAGTAAGGTACAGATTTCATTTGGGAAATTCGAAATTCGTCACATAAAGGTGTGCGTTGCTGAATAGAAGTAAGATTCACATCTACACGAATATTTTCTCAGTTTTTTTTTATCTAGGTTATATTTCGAAGAGTCGTCCCTTTTCCATTGTGTTTACAATTTTTTTTACGGAAATACCTATAGTAAAAATCTTTGTGGCGGTTGAGGTAAAAGTTTACACTTATTGTTCTTCACTTGCTGCGTCTTTGAGATCGCGTGAGTAAAATTAAAAATACTAATTAGACAGAATGACAGTCAGAGTTATTACCTTTTTGACCTTCCGACTTTACCTTGCGGATATGGTAATAGACATCTTCAAACTTAATCTAATACTTCTATTTTCATGTCACGAAAAGGTGAAACGTGCTTATTTTAATTTTATTCAAAGATATTTCGTGTGTCATCCTTTGACACCAATTTGCTTTGTATCTCGTCTTTTCTAGACTAGCTAGGGCTAGGTTTTTAAAGGCTGTTAGTTATGTACTGGATATTTCTTTAGCTCCGATGCATAATTTGTTGTTGTTTGAGTAGGGTCGAAGTAGGTACCGGTTTTGGCCATCTTTATTGTTTGCACCGTTTTTAGCCATATTAAATTTTCGTTAGTGTATCTTTATATTAATCTCCAGTTGTAACCATTTATGAAATATTTTTAATTTTACCCTATTTTTTGTTTGATAGTAAAAAGTGGTTAAACCTTAGGTAGCTAAAAATGGTACAGTTGCCCTACCTATTATGTGTAAAAAAATAAGTTTTTTGTAAATTATAAACCCACAGATAAGCTAGCTCTGTTTTAGCCCAGACATAGCTGAGGTAAATTTTGATACGATTGTGATCTGCACAAAGTATACAAAACTTTGGTAATTATAAGTTAAACTGAATTAAGTGAAAATAGCTCTTGATTGTTGTGATATTCAAGTTGGCTTAATAAGTAGGTACGAGAATTTTATTTAGGCTACAAGAGCAGTCTTGTTCCTACCTATTCAAACCTTAGCTATCAAATATTCTTATCGTGATTGTAAGGATGCAGGGACTCCGGTTTCATTCTCCGAAAATAGCTATTTCGCTTAATGGCTTCTTCTGGCTTTCAGACTGTGGTACTATTGTTTTACTTTCAGCATGATGTGCTTAGTCATTATAATACTAAGTTGTGGCAAATACGTACTCGCACAGTCAGCGTCAAATACTAGTTCGTGTAACCCAAAGTGGCCAAAAACTTGACAACACAATTTTATTACAATAATTACAAAAACGTGTTGCGAACTTTTTGGCTATTATTTCTACTTGTTTCAGTGTTTTATTCTTATACCACCAGTATTTTTACTACTACTGGTATTTTCAAATGTATGGTTACACAGATAAATATACTTAAATAATATCAAATAGGTATAATTATGCCCATTATACAGAAACCAGCACTTCAAAACTAAATCCGTGTCATCTTATGTCACGGTAATAGGTGTTATTACAAAAATGTGTTGTGTGCTGTCGCCTGTATATTGGGCACTAGCTTTCCGCCCGCGGCTTCGCGCGCGTGGACTACATTATCTCTACATATTTTACGGAACCCTATTTTTTTCCAAAATAAAATTTAGCATACTCAATACTCAATACTCAATATTTTTATTGCTTCCATAATGTTACTCGTGGATAATGTAGCTTTCGAATGGTGAAAGAATTTTTAAAAACGGTCCAGTAGTTTTTGAGCCTATTCATTACAACCAAACAAACAAACAAAGTTTTCCTCTTTATAATATTAGTGTAGATAATGTATAGTATACCCGAAGTACATACTTCTAATCGACATCAAGGGTCGCTATTAATGCAGTACATTTGACCCTATGAGCGTCGGCGCTTGGTATGCCAGTCCTCTAATAGTTCCCATTTAGGTTACACTGATTAGATATATTGCCTGAACTTTGACACTCCACAGTGCAGCAATTACACGTGGCCACGTTTCCTATTGCTGTCTTTCTCACCTATTATATTATGTAACTACTCTAACTACCTATTAAAAACAAGAACGTCTACGTTAACCGGTTTCTACGTCATGTTGATGCGGTTAAATGAGAAATGTTAGTATTGTATTGTGAATTGTATGAGAATTATTATCATTTGAAGTTAATGATAGTTATGAATATACTGTATAAACAAGTTTAGTCGTGTTTATTGTTGGACGAAGTCCAAACTTTGACCTTTGTGTAGTAGGAATAATCAAATACTGGGTTCACATAGAAAATCTGTCTTTGAAATTGTTAGTATAGTAGCCTCGAAAAATGTAAGGATTAAACAGGCATATTACTCGTACGTACTAAGGCTACATTTTCCTTACTGCACTTACAATGTAGTAAGTACGTTTCAAAATATGGCGAGCATATTATCACTGCCATGGTTTAAACATCATTGTTTGCTGAACGAATTTGTATTTGGTTGTGTTACTGGCACAAAACAAAACTTACAAATTGATATTTTTTTCTATTTCAGAAAGCGTTCGAGAACTTCTCCAGTTGCCTGAAGGCGCTGGTTGACCCCGCCAAGTTGCAGGCAGAGATAGAAGAAGCGTCCCCTAATGGCCAAGTTGACGAAGTTTTCAAAGGGTTAGTTAAAACTAAAAATATTAAAAAAGTTTGTTTGAACGCGCTCAGGAACTACTGGGCCGATTTGAAAAATCCTTTTCGTGCTAGATAGGTAACCCTTTTATTGGGGAAGGTTATAGGCTATTTAAGATCTCGCTACGACCGAAAGGAACCGAGTACCTACCTATCAATGAAAAATATTGCGTAAACGGGAACAATTTATTCAAACGTTTTTCACGAGTACGAAGTCACGGGCAAGTAATAATAAGTATTTGGTAAAGAAATCAGGCCAGTGCCCCAAAGTCAATGTCATTGTATTATAATTTTTATATCGTAAACGAAAACCCACCAGTTTTTTGAATCTTGTATAGTTTAGAAATAATCGAGTGAGATCACTTAACGTTTCCACCCTGTATAAAGTTGTTATGTTATGACAGTCACCAATATTTTGATGAAATGAATACCAAATGTTTGACTTCATTAATGCATCTATAACATGAGATGATTCTGTTTATTTTACTGTAAGTACCTATTACTATCTAATTTCTCTCACAACAAATGGTCGGCTTTTAAATTGTATCGTTATTAATTGTTTACCTAAACCGAACGAATATAGCAATATTATAACGGCTTTAGAACATATCGCCGGTATTGCCATTGACGTAATGACATAATTATTTGTTAATGATAAGGCAACACTTATGTTTTCCTCATCACCAATTAATTGCTTAATGAATTACCGCTAAATGATACTCAGTTCGAATTAATAAATAATTAGATCAATTATTATTATTATTAATCATAATAACTAGAGATGGGCCGACTAGTCGCCGACTAGTCGGGAAAGCCGACTATTCGGCATCATTTGTAGTCGGCCGACTAGTGACGACTATTCGGCAAAATCTGCCGATTATAATCGGCGCATTAAAAAATTAAATATATGAATGAAATAAAACTCATAATTATCAAGATGATTATGAGGTAGACCAAGGGCGTTTATCTAAACCATTTTTGACTGCAAAAAATCGGTAAAAGGTGGTTTCACCTGATTTAAAATTTTGGCAATCAGTCTAAATTCATAAAAAGATAAGATTAGTTAAAATTACCAGGAAATCATCAAAAATGTATAAAGTTTCTGAAATTTGTCCATAAAAAAATTTACACTTTTTTTCGACGAAAAAATTCATGGAATTGCATACCTATCCTGCGGGGAAGTGGATTATGTGGGGCTCCTCTCATCGGAAGGACGGGGAATACACACACAAATAACCCCTGAGCTCCGTCGATCGCCTTAGTGTGAAGAACTATGGGAATTCGGACAAAGCCATCAACTATCGCAGTCTGTGCCAGCAATTGGCGGGCCCTGCCTATTGACGGTGATGGTAGTCCGTGCTATGTAGGCTATGTACCCTTACGCCCCCAGCTTCTGACCATCACCATGGAGGGTGGAGAGAAATCAGTGGGCCTAGGTTGCGTGCCGCGATAAGCGCAGTTTGCTGATACATTTTGACGTCTATAAATAAGAATAATATCACGGTGCGCATCCTAGCCCAGCAGGAGGCGATCATTTTGTCACCTCCTCTGACCCCTCCGCCGTCCAAAATTATGACATCTACCTTAGGTACTGTTAGGTGATTGTAATGTTGCTTTTGATTTTTTCTCATAATTAAAGAAATCTCATTTCTCAAGAAGTTTGTATTTATCTCTTTAGAAATCTAGATATTGTTATTTCTTTGAGAAATCTAGATATTACTCTTCGGACAAGTAGGTATTAGAATGATCGGCATTGCCGACTAGTCGGCCGACTAATCGGCAATTTGAAAACCGATTAGTCGGCTAGTCGGTTAGTCGGCAAAGACCATAGTCGGCCCATCACTAATAATAACTTATTAATAATAGGGAACATTTTGGCAGTTTATGCTTATGCTAAATAAGGATTTAGGACAGATTTAAAACTGTATCTAAAGCTATTATAAAAAAAGTTTCTTCATGGTAGGTTCCCGATGTTCAATAAAAATTTTTTAGGGATGTTAATCCCATACAAAGATCTTTATTTGAACACCAAAATCACCCCCTATGGGATTGCTCAGTCTTCCCGTGGAATCCAAAGTCCCATGAGGCGATTAATTTCTATTGTGCCTCGATTCGCCGGTACACTCAGCGTCAAATAGTTCGTGACACTCAAACTAGCCAATAAGTTCGCAACACGCATTAGTTGCAATTGGAATATGGTTAAGATATAAACTTTTAGATAACTATAAGATATAAGCGGCGCAGGACCGGTCTTTGTGGAAATCCTTGGGGGAGGCCTTTGTCCAGCAGTAGACGTCTTTCGGCTGAAACGAACGATAAACTTTTTGGCTACTGTGGGTGTCAAGGACTATTTCACGCTGACTGTACCTGAAGGATTAAGGCTTGTTTTAGGCCCAGAACAGACGGTGAAAAGCAATTGCAACGAAACTGCAACTGCTAGTTACTTTTGAGTTGCATCTAAGTTTCTGCCATAGCGTCCGTTGAGAGACCACACATGATGCGACCAGTTTGAAACTTTCAGTTTCATTCATCAGAATCATCAGAAAGTTGCAGTTTCGTTGCAGTTGCGTTTCACCGTCTGTTCTGGGCCTTAGAGTTACGCTGACGCATGATGACTGTCAGCGCTGACAGCCGAAATGTATGCGTCACTCAGGAACATTCCCTTCAATTACATACATATTGATCTGTCAACGCCGACGATCAGCGAGCGGTCAGCGCGATTCTAAAACCAGCTTATTGTTTCCACAGCTACTGCGCCAAGACGCCTCAATTCAAGAGCTGTTTCACGGACATGACAAACGCTGTGCGACCCTGCTTCAGTGAGAAGGAACGCAACAACCTGAAGACAGTGTACAATGTCACCGAGCAACTGGCCGAGTTCATCTGCTACAAGGAAGGCGATAGGATTGCGCGTAAGTTTCAGACTAAGAGCTAGTGAACGCCAGACCTACTTCATTTTATAAAAGCTGAAAGTTTGGTTAGCGTATGCTCCCAGTATAGGATATAATGTTGGTGAATTATGAAGTTTGGGTCATCGTGGCTTTGGGAGCTACCCTAAAAAAACTGTCTGGCAAGGAGTTGGAACTGTTAAAACTGTCTGTCTGTTGGGGAAAATACTTCTAATTATTGCCCAAATATGAAACATAAAAAATCTGATTTTATGGTATAACGTAAGTCTAACTTTTGCGGTGGCTTTTTCTGTATATTCAATAGACTGTAATTCTACTAACGTTACCATTAAATCTGATTTTTATGTATAATATTTGGACTACTGCTTCACGGAGCTGATGCTTTAGTTAGAAGGAGCGCCACAACCTGAAGACAGTATACAACACAAGATCAGTTGGCCGAGTTCATCTGCTTGGAAGGCGTATAACCACAGTATAACTATCATACACTGGTCATCACAAAAATCGACCTTCCCGCGACAAGCACTTTCAAACGTATGCATCCCCACTTCCCACCAATAATTATATTGGTACCATTTAAAAGCCTAGTTCTAAACTTCATTTCATTAAAGGAAAGGGTTTTACCCCAAAAATGAGTCTGCAGAAGAATCCAGAGTCACTTCTTCAAAAAATAGGTAGTTACGCTTGAGCCAACTTTTATGGCTATACAACTGTTAAGTTGGGATTAATCGCTATCCATCTGTTAAAGAGGACACGTGAGATCGTTATTTGGTTTTATAAACATAAAACTTGGTCTAATTGATCCCAGAGGTGAGCCCAAAGTGAGGTCTTTTTTCAAGTATGTAAAAATTAAATGTGTTTTTCTTTAAGGATATTTATTGGGCCTTCAAATAACACCAATATTGTTGGGGCACCATGATTGTGTCAGTAGAAACGAGTTTTCCTGTAAAACGTAGGTGGGCCGATTTTTGTGATGACCAGCGTAGTTGCCGCTTTCACCCATTGTACACCCTATTCCCCTTGTGTTAAGGTCCAAAATAACTTATCGCCTGTATTTTCCAGTGTTCATCGCCGAGGGCGGGCGCGAGTGCTTCCAGGACAAGCAGGAGCAACTCCAGGAATGCACCAACCGCACGCTCGGCGCCGACTTCAAGGTGGACCCCAACAACCTGAGCGCCGATAGCATACCTAACATCGCTTTCGGGGTGAGTGACAAGAAGCGACCAGTAACTAAAGTCTGGTCTGCGAGCACGTAGAATTTTGTCCAATGACCCCAGGCTACCCATCCTTATCGCTCGCGTGTAATTATATTGCTGTCGCGACTGTGCGACGGGCGCCCGCAGTGAGTGTGCGAGCGCGACAGCATCAGGACAAAATTCTACGTGCTCACAGACCGGGCTTTATGAGGTTTCACAGTGCGCGTGGACGCACAGGATGACACATAAACCAACCACAGAGCTCTATTCAACGCTGTGCGTTCGATTTGCTGCTTCACTTAAGCAAGCATCATTTGTGAATACGGGCGTAAGTCTTAAAAACCAAAATATTTGGAGTAACAATCCGTCCACCAACCCATGGTTCTACCTGCTTCACGGCGTACGAACCAAAATTCGAACTGAATTCTTCATTCGTTTACCCCATGATTAAATAGTGGACAGTCCTCTTAAAAGGGAAGGCACTGTACGCGAGCTGCAACAGCAACAGCCAATCTGGGAATAATTGCAGGAGGCCTATGTTCAGCAGTGGACGTCCTATGTCTAAAATTAGGATGGTAATAAAATATTGTACAAATTTTGCATAAAAGGCAGAACCATCATATCGCAGAAAGTTCTTAGAGATAATCGTCTTTTGGCATACTGTTAAAGGTAAAACTCATTTATTTCTGTAAAAAGGCTTAAAAAAAGCACTTTTACACGTCCCAGTATTAACCCTACCACTGCTTCAGGACAATAAATGGGCCAGTGCTGAGAAGAAGCAGCGCAAGAAACTCAGTCACTATTGTCAGCCTCTTTTTCAAAGGTTTACATGCTTTAAAATGTACAAAGTTATAAATATTCATGCGAGCTAGGCAGTAACGTATCCCAAACATTTTTATCTTTTAAATAATCATCGACTTTATAGTAGCCCTTTTTCATTATGGTACTTTTAATATGTGCTTTGAATTTATGAATGGGTAGTTCTACAACAGTTTGTGGTAATTTATTAAAGAATTTAATACATTTTATTCCCCTATCGCATTATTAAGGGTTGTAGGGGTGAGGTGGAGGGAGAGAGGGGGGTAGGGGAACTCCCCCTGTGAATGACGGTAAATTGCTAAACAGTTTGTCATTCCATTCATTGAGCTGTGGATATTGTTACGTCATCGTGAAAACTATGAGTAAATTTTGACAGCTCTTATAAAGGTTGTCAATTAATTAGTGGTGACAACTACCCTATTATCCCGAAGATAGGATGCGCGCCGTGATATACTTTATCGACGTCAAAATGTATGGGCAAAATCGATAAAATGGCGTGATAACCGCTTATCGCGGCGCGCATCCCAGGCCTACTCAAGGTCTCAACACGAAATTTATTTGAAATGGAACGCGAAAGTTTAAAATCTTATTGATTTTATTTATTTATTCTCATTTTAGGAGGAAGAGTGACCAATGTTTGGCCCTGTCAGATGACTATGCCTAATTTGATTTATTTATTGTGATTATAGGAAAAAGAGTGCCGCCAGCTGAGCGAACTGCAGCTGTGTGTAGTGGGAGTGCTTGAGACGTGCGAGGCGCCCACGACCGGCAACATCGTGGAGTCCATGTTCAAGTTCATCCGCAAGGCCACGCCCTGCAGCGACGTCGCTGTAAGTACTGCCACAGAATAATAATGAAGTACTACCAGGAGTACCAGGCCTGTTCATCTCCGCGAGTTTACATCGAAAACAAAACACGCACGATGGCCCACCTACAGGATACTATTCGACAAGGCCTCACATACGAGCGAACATTGACTCACGCACGCGTATTGTTCTGTATGATGGAAGAAAATAAAGAAAATGGTGTACCAAATACTGCCTAAATAATAATAAAAACACAGAATGTACTTTTTTAAGTTGCCTCAAGACACTGAGAGGTAAATAAGTAGTTAATATTATTCATGATAATTCATGCTAAATCATGTATTTCCTCCGCCATTTTCCGCAGTTTGGCACCTCACGTCACATCATTTTACCGAAGTCAGCCCTATAGTTCGGCGCAGTGCCGATCACTGACGTTTATCAACAAAATGGTGCTTCACTCTTGAGACAGGCTAAATTACAGGGTGCGCCAAAGTTCACCTAAATTTTCAACTCCGAAAATTGGAAGTCCGAAAATGTTCTTCCTAAAATTTTTCATCCTAACAATCACAATTCCTAACTACTCTATCTCTAATGTTCATAATTCCGAATCATTCAACTTCATAATGTCATTAGCAATAAACATCTATTACACTTTTATTTGTTCTCCTAGATTTTCTAAACATAACCATATTTTACACTATTATTCAAAGTCATATCTTTTTTGTTTAGATTTCTTTCTCTAACAATATATTAAAGTTCAAGTTTGTTGGCATTAGCACGTATACTTAAGTCCCGCTCCATTCATTCAGTCAAGTTCCAGAAACGAATCGGTCCTATTCATAATTATTGGTTTAGGTTAGGTTAGAACTGTGACCACAACGCACGAGCCGAGCGAGCGAAGCCAGAGTCCCGCTCCAGTCATTCAGTCAAGTTCCAGAAACGAATCGGTCTATTCATTATTATTGGTTTAGGTTAGGTTAGAACTGTGGCCTTACGTTTTATTAGCGAAGAACGTACTTCTGTACGTAGTATTTATTATTATTCTATGGTATGAGTGAAAATATTATGGTAATGTTTAGGGATAAAATTGTTATGATAAATAACAGTAGGAGTTTAAATATATTTACATAAATGATATTATTAATTAAAATTTTCGGAAACATGAGTGTTATGAACATCGCCGGTAGCACTACAAATAGTATGAATGAAAACTTTAGGAGGAACAATTTTAGGAAGAGTGATCATTCGGATTTAAAATCGTTAGGAAGAACAATTTCGGGTAAATAACTTTAGGTGAGCCAATATGGACCCTAAATTACACCATATTGTTAATGACATTGAGCATACATTTTTTTTAAATACCTTCGCGAAGTAAAACTTCTGTACGTAGTACTTATTATTATTCTGTGGTACTGCAGGCTTTTGGTTTATTCCACTTTATTCACCTGGGTTATCACCTGGCACCTGGGTAAAGAAAGTGAAATTTTTAGTGTCTTTATTTCACCGGAACCATTTCCCACCCTTTTAACCATTTGTATTTGTATTGTCGTGTCAATAAATAATCTATTCTATTTCACAATTTCACCTGGTAAACAGATGCGAAGACCTGAGGACACTAAAAATTCCACTTTCGTCACCCAAGTGGATTAATGCAGTCTTTTGGTTCTGTACAATCTGAGACTAACAGCTGTGGTAATAAGTTTTTTTTAAAGATACGTCATCTCGCTCTAACGAATATCTCTCTCGCTCGCACTCCCTCTTCTGTCCTTATGGCGTAGTTACACTTACACATGCGCGAAATTAATCAAACATAGAAAAAATATACCAACCGAATTGAGAACCTCCTTTTGTTGAAGTCACCTATGTAAATAAATTCGTGTTTTTCATTCCAGGAGACGAAACAAAACAGGCCAGGGTCGGCCTCAGGGCTCGCGGTGACGTCAGCCACCTTCCTACTCGGCCTATTCGCGGCCATGTATGTGTAAGCTACGAGTAAATCGTTTCATATTATTTATAGCACCAGTCACTTAGAGACAAGTTGCCATAAGAGTAGATAGACGCTTGAACATTAATAAATGTGTCGTCACACGTTAAACGACATCCCAGTTTAACAGTATGCAAAATTTTCACTTTAAGAGTGGTTATCCCGAATAAAGCTTCCTTTGGAAAATCATTTCAGGAAGTGCTGAGAAAAGTTGCCCTAGAAAGTCTAGCCCTAATCAAATCAATTTCAAGCATTTTCCAAACTTTAGAATTTATTTATTAAAACCGATCGAAGCAGTAAAAATATGTACGTACATTCTTCATTTTGGATCGTCTTCTAACCGTTTGTGTAGCATTTCATTTGTTTTTATGAAGTTTATCTACTCTTATGGTTAAATTGAGATGCTTGTGATTAAATGTGTCATTTGCAAGCCTAATTAGTTTTACATGTATTGTGGTGGAAGATAATGATTACCTGTTCACATATCATTAATAGTTAGTTTTCTATTTTAATTTCTAAGAGTATGACCGTACCGTGAGTAAATCAGAGTATAATTTATTTGTATTTACTAACACACAGACAGTTAAAAATTAACATTAGTGTAACGTAAACGTGCAGGCTAAAAAGAACCGTATCACTACATGCGAAAGATTTTTTTAAACTGATTATGTTTTTTTTTAACAGTAGAGTAGATTAAGTGTCGCATAGAATGAAAATGCTAGGCCAAAAAATTAAGGAGTCTGTCACCATTATCGTGCTAAAATGAAAAAACAAATTAAAGTTTTTATTTTATAGGAATAATGCGCTGTGCTATTTACTTATGTATACTATAAATTGATAAGGTTTTAATCAAATTCATGCTGTAATTCGTAATTTATAAGCGTGCTAGATTTATTATTGAACAAACTCGCGTTTTTATTTTATTGGAAAATCGAACTCGCCAAACTATATTTTTCTAAAATGAAATATGATTTTGTTATACTTTGAAACAAATTTTTGATATTTACATTTTTATTTTGAGAGTAAAACTCATTTACTTTAGTGTGCGATGCGAATATTTATTGTTTGCTAGTTTTAAGAAATCTTGAGCTTTTTAGTACATTATGATACAGCCAAAACAATATTTAAAAATATAATGAAATCATATTGAACATTTTTGTGTGGTCTCCTATACCGCGTTTATGCATTGGTTATATTTGCGCCAAGATGTAGTTTTACAACCAATACACCAATTTATAAAACTTGGCAATTTATACTTCACACCAAAAACGTACAAAGACAGCTAATGTAATGCGTAGTGATAATTTTGTACTTTATTAATATCCAATTCTTATACCACATATGTACACATTTAGTGCTTTCTCTTTACAAACGACGTATATTAAAATAATGAGCTAGTAATTCTGTAGTAAGCATTCTGATATCATAAAATAGTCACAAAAATAAAAAAGAGCTATTAGTTTTGCTATTGCAGAATGTTTTTGTAATAATATTGTAATGTAACCAGTACATATCGCTAGAGTATCAGTGCCAAGAGTTACCGGCCAAAACGCTTGCCTAAATGTAGATTTACAAAAATGTTATGTAAAATTAGACTTGATATCGAATTCACTATCTCTAAAGGCGCGCGTGCATGGCTTACTTTTTTGTCGCCGTGACAGTATTCGTGATAGTATATCTGTTTCTTTTACACTATTATGAAGAGAAAAAGAGAGACATACTGTCGCGGTGACAAAAGTCACGTTGTAAAGTCATTTGTCTCTTTTGTCTCCTTCTAAATTCAATTGACAATAGTCCAACGGTGTCTGTGTCGAACTACTACTCGAGATCCGAAGAACGCTGTTACGAATCCTGCTGCTGAACTATTGTGGTGAACCCTCTCGTGGCACAAGCATATTTTAAGATAAGCACGAGAGGTTAACGGGATTTTTATAAAGAATAATATGAGAGAATACAAACAGAAATAGCCATCAAAATACGTCCTAGCTAGAGCGTCCTAGTGTTTACAAAAATCTTGTAAATCTTTTTAAAATCTAAATCTAAAGAAATAGTGAATTTTATTGAAATATAGTCTAAAACATCAGTGTTTTAAACGCGAGGTAATGCGAAGCTGTCCATATATTAAATTAGAATAATAGATATAGAAGTGGGATTGTTGTCCCTAACGATAGTTTATTTGCGAGTGCATAATTATGAATGTAAAATACAACGAATGTTACAGTCCATAATAGTTTTAAAAGCCGGGTTCTTTTTAAACTTTTACTTAAATGTCGGACTTAGTTAATTCATGATTATGTTTTCCTAACACTTAACTAATGTATGATTAATTTTTTTTTCTATCTATCATTGTAAGTTACTTTTATTCTATATTTTATATAGAATTAGTTGCAGTAAAGTGAATCAGATATAGAACTGCTGAAAACTTATTTATTAAAACATTTTATGTGCTTTTAATTCTTGTTACAAAATTTTAATTTACATAAACATTCCATTTTATTTTTGATTGTATTAAATGTTGATGCTGTTTCTGATATTTCATTTTTATTTTATATTAATTTGTTAATTATGGGTTTTATAAGATATAGTTTTAAAATAAGACAAATGACAAGAACATTTTGATACGAATTGTTTATTGTTTTTAAATGTTTTATTCCTTTAGGTTTCACGAAGACTGTTTCAAAAATAGCATTGTGAAATTATTGCTAATTAGTCTTGTTTTTTAATTGAACGTACAAGATTTTATAACTACCTATTGTATGAAAGCCAATCGTTCAAAACGTTATTTTAATGTATTTGCTTACCCAAAGTTGTGTCGGTAATGAGATATTGTACCCAATTTATTTTAGATCTTCCTATTAATAAGCAAAGTGCTAAGGTTTAATTTTGTAAAATGTTTACATTTTTAAGGCATATCAAATAAACGTGGAAATATAAAACGAGGTTTCTTTTTCTACCGTATAAATCAACCTAAGGCTCTATCTAGTATAGATCGTTTCATCCACGAAGACGCGCCCCACCAATTTTTAGTTGAGGGAAGCGCGGGGTGCGGATATTTCGTCTAAAGCAATCCGAGCGTCATTATTGTGTGCGTGTGCACTCATGGATAATTTAGCGTGTACCGATAACACTCAAACATTAGCGGAAGGATGGTGGGACGCGTCTTCGTGGATGAAACGATCTGTAGTTTTGTTAAATAAATAAGAACACATATTGACAGTTAGGTTTTAATTACTTATTTTAACATCACGTTTTCTAAATGGCACAATGACACCAATGATCCCCAACAGCTTTGCTGATTAGTTCTGAAACAAAAGAAAGTAGATTGCTTTAAAAGTGGATTCGCTATGAAATAAAGAGATAAACGATGTAGAAGTATGTAATTTGTCCCGGGGAAAGTGTAAATTCTACTAACTCTACAACCTTGTTCGCACTAGTCGAGTAATTTAGTAGAGTAGCTCGCTTTTAGTAAATTAACTACCTACACGCTACTGGCCAAAAAACCGTTCGCCGCGCTTTAGTCGAGTACAATTAACAAGTAATTAGTGGTTTTTATATGAACTACTAAAGCGCCCGGTTCTGAACCGTTTAGCGAGTGAGTGAGTGAGCTGGGAAGCGTGGTGGGGGGTGCTATTCGCCTGTTAAAATAGATAGATAGATATATGGTTTATTTGCAAAACACATTGACACACAAGAAGCAAAAAGTAAGATTAATAAACACGAGTTGCAGGAAAGATATAGTACATTACAAAGAGTAAGAAAGAAAATCCTGCGCTAAGGTATAAGTGTGCCGCAGCGATGAAAAAAAGCAGAGAGCTCAGTGTAGACACTGCTCTAAAATGAGCAGAACACTGATTTTCAGCTCTTGCTTTAAAAATAGATAGGTAGACGCACGGTAGACAATAAGGTGGTGAAAATGTTGTACTATTGTAAACCTACATAAATATCAGAAATTAGGGAAATGTACAATGTAAAATAGAACAAAATTTATTGGCTCGATTATATTTTAGTAACCTACTCGACGAAATTTTTGGTGTTAGGACACGTTTAGCTACTCGACACTACTAAATTAATCGAGCACAACTAACTGCGCATCTCGCTGTAATGCCACTCTGCCTCGCACTCACCTGCACACCTCCCCTCGTTCGCGTCAGAGCGTCGATGTGACGTGACGGCTGCTAGATGCGCAGTTAACTCGACCGGGTTATATACAGGGTGTTAGGTAAATGGGTATATGAGCCGACACTAGCCCATGTTAACATGGTCATATAAATGGCATGGTGAAATCAGAAAATTGATATCTTCATTTTAATTATTTTAATTTTCATACAAATCGGATTTTATAAAATTTATTTTGTATGAAAATTAAAAAAAATAAAATGATGATATCAAAGGACATTGTCAGAAACCGCCTCAGATTCCTGGGCACAGCAGTAAAGTATCAAAATTAATCTCTTACTTTTTGAATACTTAAATATTAATTAGATTGTAACGAACACTTGAGGATTAAAAAATGAAATAATAAAAGTATTTTATATGTATTCCATAATACTATGACGACATCCGGACATTTTAGGGCGTGGCCTGCTCCATATCCTATGAAGTTCCATAATTTGTGTCGATAAAATCTATGTAAAATCGGCACAAGGCAATGCCGTACTTCATTGTTAGGAATCCATGTAATAGTGATGTTGACTGCGGTCATCATAGACAATAAGATACCGATCTTGTAAATAAAATAAATCGTCCAAATTGCTACAGTATGACTAGATTTTAATTAAAAGTTAAAAATATATTGCACGATACTACAAGAAGCTATCTAATGTGTCCAACTGGTCGAAGGTCATGAATAAAATAAAAAGAATTGTGATCATAACACTGATATAGACAATGACAACAATATGGGATCATCTTTAATATATCTGTTACAGTTTCAAAATTCGATGAAAAATCCAATGCCGCTTAAAGTGAGAGAAATGTCTAAAGTTCTAATAGAATTGAAAGTTTTATTCGCTCAAAATGCTTATAACAATAATTGGTAATACATTTCAAATATTAAGTACCTTTATAATGTATCGATAGAACCAAAATGATATCCTCTCAGCTTGGAAAGGGAAAACCCAGGATTGGGGGAGCGCTCCAGGCAATTTTTAGAACATTTCATAGGTGGTAGTAAATAATATTTATTTTATTATTAAAATTGAATATTTTGATATTGATAAAATTGAATATATCTTTCGATTCAAATACCGAATATTTTTCAATCGATAATAATTATCGAGAATTGTTAATAATATTCAATTAAAAGTTGTTCAATCCCTAGTCATGCATAGACTAAGACGGTAACCATGGAGATAGTTAGTTTGGTAAGTCACGTGTTAAATGTCAAGAGTGGAAAGTAAACATAGGATTCATGTTATTTATTTACGTGCAAAATGTAAGTAAGTAAATCATAAAAGTGGAACGCCGAGCTATTTCCAAAACCCGTCCAATATTATAATACAATTTGGCTGCGACAACTACAATACAGAACATCTCCCAAATCGATGTGCATAAAATAATATAATACAATACTAGTAAGTAAGAGGTTATGATAACAATATTGCTATCAATAAGTTTATAGAATTGGTCCGCCAGGAATAATTGTTCTTACATAAAGATTTGTGTCATTTAGAACCTAGAAAGTATTATCTCGGCACTGTTGATCTAACGGCGAACAATGTATGGAGAACGAACATTGTCCTTTCCGACTTCACCATACCATTTATATGACCATGTTAACATGGGCTAGTGTCGGCTCATATACCCATTTACCTAACACCCTGTATAGCTTGTAGTGCGAACTAGCCTTAACTAGTACGAGTAGTAGTAGCAGTAGCAGGGCTTCCGCGGAAGACCAGCTTCTTGACATGTCCTTACGAGCATGTCAAGGCGTCTGAGCGACCATTGGCGCAGTGGCCTGCTAATTTTCTGTTTTTCTCTTCGTGTTGTGTTGTTATTGTTTATAAATTAATTCGAAATTATAAAATCTTTGGACAATTTCACAGAGCGCTATCTAGTCGCAAAGTAAGCCATTAATATGCTTGTATTAAGGGTGCTAGCTTAACGTACTTACCTATATACTACATAGTCATACATAATATATTTTTTTAAATACTTATACGTCATATTATTACATTGTGCTCAGGCTCACTGTGTTCAATAAAGTCCATTCTATTCAGTAGGTATCTTACTCAGATCAGTATCTTACCTTCGGCAGAGCAGTGTTGCAAGGAGAGCCCTTGCGCACATACTTGATGAGCGACTCGGCCATGTTGCCGGGGGTGGGGTTGGGGCACTCCTCCAGGGCGTTCACCAGGCACGTGCTGACCTCGTCGAACTTCTGGCATTTTTCCTGTAATTTTTTTATGTTCTTATTCCATTAAATAGAAGAATGGTGCTAGCCTTTCAAGTACCAGCGAGTCGAGACAAATCAGTTGTTACTACGGTCTCATGGTACACATATCAAGTATTTTGTTTTGAGATTTTAGATAAGATTTGAGTCCAAGAATTGCGGTCTTTTACCGCCTATTTTGTTACAAAAATGTAGTATATGTCGTTTCATCCACGAAGATGTGCCCCACTATTCTTCCGCGAATGTTTGAGTGTTATCTGTACACGCTAAATTATCCACGAGTGCACACGCACGCACACTACAATAATGATGCTCGGATTTCTCATTTCTCGGATCAAACTCCCCGCACCCCGCGCTTTCCTCGACCAAAAATTGGTGGGGCGCGTCTTCGTGGATGAAACGATCTACAGTTTGATTTGTCACAACAACATGTAGGTACTTAGCACGAGTTGTACTGGACAGAATACTTGTAATTTTGTTCTTTGAATATGTATCGCTATGATCAAATTGTTGCATAGCAGCATGCGTAGGTAATTTATGCGGTGAATATAATATTATTGAATTTGTGGATCACAAATATCGCAATGCAAAGTGAACTTACGACCAGAGACAATTTCTTGATGTCCTCGATGGAGCTGAAGGACTTCTGGATGGGCTCGCCACACTGGCGGAGCTTGGCCGCCTGGTCCTTGAAGCACTCCGGGCCTTTCTCAGCGATGAACACTGCAAGAATACGAAATAAAAGTCTTTGCTAGTTAAATCTTGGTTATTATCGCCAAACCTTGAGTTGGTAAGTAGGTACCTAGCACATTTTTTTTTCAAGCCTCCAGCAATAAATCCTCACATTCTTGACGAATTTTCTCTTAGAATCGCAATACATACCTACTTAATACCTACCTTATTTGTGTGACCAGACGTAATTAAGTGCGGTGAAGGCTCTACTAGTATAAAATTTTTGGTACCGATTCGAAGAGATGTTAGTACGAATGACCTAATGATACCAATCGCACCCCGTAACATGACCGTCCTTGTAATGCAGATGCGTCAGGAGTACCAATTTGCGCGACTGATGTCACCCCCTGATGCTTGGCACCCGGGGCGGACCGACTCAGCGACTTATATAGATTTATTAATTTGTTAATGATGGTTTTAAAGATATAGATTCATCAAACTCACGAGCGATTCTGTCGCCGTCCTTGTGGCACACGAAGTCCAGGAGTTGGGCGGTGCCGTTCTTGACGGCCTCCGCCTGGTTGCGAACCTCGGAGTCCAGGCACGGGGACACTGAGTCGATCAGCGCGTTGAAGCAGCTCTTCAGCTGAGGGGACCTGGCGCAGTACCTGACGAAAAGGTTTGGTTTAATTTGCATGTTAAATTACTTAATTCAGCTATAGATAGTGCAATCCACGGAGGCGCGCCCCACCATTCGTCCTAAATCGTTTACAGTTCATGTAGGTATGCATGCTTATGTTTGAGTGTTATCATCGGTACACGCTAAATATGCACGAGTGCTCATGCACACTACAAATACTACAATAACTCACGCTCGGATCAAATTCCTCGAACCCCGCACTTCCCTCGACCAAAAATTGTTGAGGCGCGTCTTCGTGGGTGGCACTACTGGATTTCGCAAAACGAAGTAATTTAGGGTATGAATAATTGAAGACATGGTGGTGGCAATACGAACCGACGTCCTTTCATTAGCTGGGCAACTTTACATGAGATAACACGTAGGTACCTAGCTCTTTTTATTAGTCCGACAAAAACAAGTCAAGAAGAGTACTTAGATAGGAATTTGATCTAACATTTTTATAACGGATTTAATTTTTAGAAACGGATTTAATTAGCTTGTTCATACGAGACGACACTACTCGTAACTCCTGAAACTATTGCGTCGGTGGTCAAAATAAGCACGAAGTTTCAATAAAACTAATAGCTCTACGACTTATATAAAGGAGGTCTACTTCACACACAGTCCAGCAACCTGTTACCAATCATGTCGTCTCGTTCTATCGCATAGAATCACCAATTGACGAGAGCGATAAAAAAACGGGAATGGATAGCTGGAAGTATGGCCGATAAGTAATAATGCCAAAAGAAGTATACTACTTACTTTCCGAAAACTTCATCGAGGGCACCTTTGGGCTTGGCCTCTTCAATCTCCTTCTGAATGGTGGCTGGGTCGATCTGCGCCTTCAAACATTCGAGGAAGGTCTTGCCGGCTTTCTATAAAATTAAATAATACTTTTGTTTTAAAAATGAACGACCTCACATATAATAATAATAATAGCCTGTGACCCTGACCACCGGTAGCTTGGGCCCTGCTCCGCTACCAGCGGAATAACTATTTTTAAGAATTTTTTTATAATGTATTTTTATTTATTTTTTTTGATAATTTACATTGTAAAAAAAATATTTAAAATTAAGAACCAAGGTTAATAAAGAGAATAATAATAATAAAAATATTTAAAATTAAGAACCAAAGTTAATAAAGAGAATAATAATAATAGGCGCGTAGTTGGATGAGAGCTCATAATCAAAAGAAAGTTTGCCCAGGAAATATTGAATCAACTTTTGACTCCTGTTCTAATGAAGAGTTGATTTAAATTCTTTTTGAAATTCATAATGAGCCTGAACATAAGTTAAATGTCGAGTATAAGAAAGAAATGGACTGTTTCAGCAAATGGCTTATTAAACACCGAAGCAGATGCATACGGAACAGATCTCGGGACTCCTTTTGGGCGTTAAATATTCTTGATACTTTTAGATACCTAATATTTTACCGTGGTTTATGTGCATAAAAGTTCTTGCGCATGGAACCTCATGAAGGTAGCATCAAAGCGCTGGATGCAGGCCGCTACCAACCGGTCAATATGGAAATTATTGGAGGAGGCCTATGTTCGTTCAGCAGTTATACGTCCTACGGATGAAATTATGATAATGATTATTATTATGTCCGATGTGTATCTACCTCTTTGCTGCTTACCTGAACGTCATCTGCTTTGTCCTCTGCGCCATTCTTTTTGCATTGAGCTGCAATTGCTTCTTTGACCTTCTCCCGCTCATCATCAGATATCTGGTACTCGGCCAAGGTACCTGAAGCCACAGAAATTTAAAAATATTGAAAGTATGTGCCTTACTTAAGTGAGCAAGAAGAATCGTTTAAAACTAATGAGCTTTTTTTTAATATTAGTTTTTTTTGCACAAATGACTAGTAGTCCCGTTAGCTCCTTTTTCTTGTGTCGAGTAGGCTCACCAAACCACCACAATAGTCAAGGGGCAGCGGAATTCGAACCCGCGTTCCTCGAATGACGAGTCGGCCAGTCCGATCCCCTCACCGTTCGGCTATCGTGGCTTCAAGTCGGTTAGGTACATTTTAAATCAAATTATCTATACATTTAGAATACCTACAACATTACATCTACTGCATTATATCAGAACATGAGTTATTTCGTAATTAAGTAGGTAATAATAAGTTATCGTGCCCTCTTTCTTCGAGTTATCACTTAAAGCGAACATTTCCATTTGAACTTTTCAGTGGTATCGATTTAATTAGTAAACACAAGAAAATGTCACGCCATAAACAACTAGAGGATAAGATTAAAACATATTTATAACTAAAAGCAATTATTTATTAAACTTAAATCTACACATGATTACATTAGGAAGACAAATTACATATGTACTAAAAATCTAATTTAATCTACACTAATAATATTATAAAGAGGAAAACTTTGTTTGTTTGGTTGTAATGAATAGGCTCAAAAACTAGTGGACCGTTTTTAAAAATTCTTTCACCATTCGAAAGCTAGGTACATTATCCACGAGTAACATAGGCTAAATTTTATTTTAAAAAAATAGGGTTCCGTAAAATATGTAGATAATGTAGCCTACGCGCGTGAAGCCGCGGGCAGAAAGCTAGTAAGTAGAGATGAAACGGATATCCGGCAACTATCCGGTAGGCCGGATATCCGGCCTAAATTTACTATCCGGCCGGATACCGGATAGTAGCTCACTATCCGGCCGGATACCGGATATTAAAAAACTACGAAAAGGACAGTGCCAATCCATGTATGGAAGTTGGACCAAGTGCTGCCCAGAATGAAACCATAGTGCATTTTGTTCCTCAGGCCAATACTGATTTATAAACCGGAGCGCACTGAAATCTATCCCTGGAGTTAAGAGAAAAAAAGAGTTTTGTTTTGAATTATTTACATACAAAATATACTCAATACTCAATACTCAATATTTTATTGCATCCATTATGTACTTAAAATTAGAACATTATGGGCCCTGTAGGGCACGGCAATTAGGAGAGAGGAGGACCACCCTAGATCAACCGAAAGATGTCAGAAGTTAGAGCCTAGTAATTTATCGTTGAGATACTCACTTAGAGCATAATAGTGTTTAGAAATTAAAAGTTCTTTAAGTTTTTTTGCAAATGTTAATTCTTTGGGTGTATTTTTTATCGAAATTGGAAGCTTATTAAAAATTTTGATTGACATGGAAAGTGGACCCGATGAGTACAGTTCAAGGCGGGATGGAGGTGTTATTAGTTTTTGTCGATGTCGTAAATTGTATGTACTGTCGATGTCTCCTCGTTTTTTGTAAAATTCTGGGTATTTTTTGACAAATTTACACGTCTCTAATATGTATATGCTAGGTAGGGTGAGTATATTGTGTTTGGCAAAATATGGTTTACAGCTATCGGTATTTTTTATGTTAAATATTATTCTAATAAGTTTTTTTTGGAGGATCAGGAGATCTTGGGCATCTGTACTACTTCCCCACATAATTACTCCGTAGTTGAGCCACGAATATGCGTATGCGTAATACGTACTGAGTGCTGTCGGTATGTCGGTGGTCTTTTTCACTTCACGGAGAGCATAAGTAAAGCTTGCTAATTTCCCTTTGATTTTTTTAATGTGTGATTTCCAATTTATATGAGTATCTATTATTAGGCCAAGAAGGCAGAATTCATTTACATGTTCTAATTTAACGTTATTATATGAGAAATTTATGTTAAGGGGTGTTTTTTGATATGGATGAAAGCTAATTATTTTAGTTTTTGAAAAGTTGATTTCAAGGTTGTGTTCTGTCATCCAGTTAGTTATTTTGTTTATTAACAAGTGTAATTTGCTATTTATTTGTGTAGTAGTTTTACTTGACGTAAGCAGCGACACATCGTCAGCAAATAGCACGCAGGTGTCTTCAATGGTTTTGGGAAGGTCGTTAATGTAAATAATGAATAATAAGCATCCAAGCACACTTCCTTGTGGAATAGATGCGTTACAAATTTTTCCATCTGATCTTATTTTTTCGATTTCGTTGGTGTTGTGATTGAAGTATTCTATTTCAACGAATTGTTCCCGATTTTGTAGATACGATTCAAACCATCTATACGACTTTCCTCGGATCCCTATTCCATACAATTTATTTAAAAGTATCTTAAATTGGACCTTGTCATACGCTTTTGACATATCCAATAGGATACCTATCGCATATTGTTTGTCATTAATTATGCTAAGAATATCTTGGATGTATTTATAGACTGCTAGTGTTGTAGATCGCTTTTTACGGAAGCCATTTTGACAGTCATCAAAGATATTGTATTTTTCGCAGAAGCTATACACTCGGTCGCACATGACCTTTTCAAACACTTTAGATGCTGCAGGTAGCAAGGCTATTGGACGGTAATTACTGGGGTTGCTCTTTTCTTGTTTCTTATATAGTGGCTTTATTAAAGCTTTTTTTAGTTGATCAGGGAAAGTACCTTCTTCAAAGGATTGATTTATGAGTATGCATAACGGAAGTGCGAGTTCAGAAGCACAATGTTTAAGTAGGGTAGGTGGAATTTCGTCGATTCCGAAACTTGTTTTATTTTTAAGGCTATTCAATGTCTTATATACTTCTTGGTAATCGACAGGATTTAGGAAAAATGTATTTTCGGTAGGATTCAAAACAGGACGGCCGACTGCTAATGGAGAGCTATTGTTACCTATAGACGCGAAGAAGGAATTGAATGTGTTTGCTACTATGTTTGGGTCTGAGATTATAGTATTATGTACTTTCAATGATATATTGCACCTATCTTTTTTATTTTTCTTATTTGTCCGTTCATTTACAATATTCCACATTGTTTTAATTTTATTTGATGATTTTTTTAATTTATTTATGTAGTTTATTTTTTTAGATATGTTGACTGACTTTTTTAGCAATTTTTCATATTTTTTATAATAGCTATGTAGAGTTTGACTTTTTGTTTTTGAAATTAGTATTTTTAAGAGCCGTTTATTTTTGGACGATATTTTTATACCTGTAGTTAGCCAATATTTCTTATAGTTAGTTTTTAATTTTACTTTATGTTTGGGTATACATATATTTAAAATATCTAATAACAAATTATGAAATTGGGTGTAGTTTTCATTTACATTGTTTTTTGGGGAAAGTATGCTGTGCCAATTAATCTCTTTTAAATTTAATTAAAAATTTTCTATGTTTTCCAAATTGTAAAACCGTTTGTCAGTATACCAGGTTAATCGTTTAGTCGGTAAGTATAACTCTACTTCAATAGTTGTAGCAGCATGAGAAGAAAATCCTAACTGTTCAACTTTGGTAATTTCTTTGTTTTTATCAAAGTTGGTAAATATTAGATCTAAGCATGTTGCCGAGGTTTGTGTGAAGTGTGTAGGTTCCTTAATGTGTTGTGTTAAGTTGTATTCAGATAGGGTATTTAAGAATTCATTTGCCTTAAGACTATTTTTAAGGGTATCGATATTAAAATCGCCGCCTACCACTATTTTATATTTTGAGTATTTTTTATCAATATATATTAATATTTTTTTCAATTGTTCATAAAATATTTCTTCCTCTCTCCTATTATAATAAATAACTATCAATAATATATTTTCTTTGGGTAACTCTATACCACATACTTCTATTATGTATTCAATAGACATTTCTGCTATTTCAGTTTTCTCTATATATTCAAAATGGTCTTGTAGTAGAATGCAGACTCCGCCTCCGATTCTGGTTTGTCGACAAAATGAGGCTGCTATTTTATATCCAGTGAGGTTAATTAAGTCTAATTTTGCTTGATTTAACCAAGTTTCAGTTATGCAGTACGCTTGGTAAACTGGATTCTCGTTCATAAATGTGTCAAGTAAGTCTCGTTTGTTGTAAAGGCTTTGGAAATTTTGGTACAGTATTCTAAATTGTGTCTTCTTAGTTCCGAAATGTACGATCTATGCCTGAACGAGGTTGTTGGCTTTGGGTATTATATGTTTCTTCTTGAACTGTTCTGTTGATATTGCTGTTGTTCGAGTTGTTTAGGCTCTTATTTTTAGAGTAATTATTTTCATTTTTCCACTCTACTCGTTTTCCATCTACATAGAGTTGTTTATTTCGTATTACAGCATACAGTCCATTCTTACGAGCGTTTATCATTTGTTTAGGACATTGTTAGCATCAGAATAATTGACTAGCTGTTCTAGACCGAAATGTTTAGGATGTCCAAATTCGAAGGCTGAAGTGTCAAACCTCGTAACTCCATTTTAATAAAATGATATTTTAATACAACATTTTACTATGTATTTACTGAACACGTCCAAAGTAAGCCTGAAATAATTTTTAAAAATCGTTACCGTTTATAATAAGACGTGTGCGAATAGTTTCAGTAAAACTGCATTTTATTTACTCTTCAGTCCATTGCCGCGAATTTTTATCCCATTTTGTTTTGGAATATTATTTATATCAATTTTCAAGTTTATATCAAAAATTTCAGAGTTATATTAAAACAAATCTTCACACAAATGTTTTCGAAGTGAAGTTTTTTGGACCTCCTATAAAATTTGATCCAATAGAGTTACGAGGTCTGGCTCTTTAACTGACGCAATTGTACAGTTTTCAGCTCATCAAAGATAACATTTTGTAGCAAAATCGAACCTAATACAAATACATTAAGAACCTAATGTATAGTATGATATGCCATCGGTGTATTCTCAGAAATTGTCGATAATCTGTATAATCCTTGTAAACATTTCGATGAATAGTAGTTACAACTACCTACTTGGAAATACGGTTTTGTAGTAAGTTGGTTATTAAACTTAC